ACTCCTGTGTGAATGAATTATCGCCTCTATCGAATATTGCATTCGTCAATTTTCCTATCAAATCATCCAACTCTACATTCGAACGTGAATAACATAATTTCGATTTCGGGTCAATTTGGCCCAATCCATGTATCAAGGTTAAACACTTGTTAGATAAAGAGAGGGCGGCCTGTGATTCTCAAACGAGTACATTACGTCCCTCCTGTCACGAATAAAAGTCAGCCCTTCTCTTATTTCTGGTTCGCTGGAAAGTTAACGCGAATGGGGTGTAGAAGCCGTGAGAAGAAGACGACGAAAAAGAACCTGTTTTCTTCGAACGAGCATTCAGCCCCGAAGGTACCTGTTCGCTTTAATTCCGCCGCAGTAGGACCTGCTTCTCTTCTTCTTCTTCTTGCATCGTATACCTGCCATGCTAGCGTCCTTTTTCGTTTGTCTCTCGTTTCTCAGTCACTCCACGAGTATGGGTTTCTCCCATGGAGAAATATGTATGCCGTTCACCAGGACCCATGGAAAGCGAGGATGATTAATCATCGTACGAGATCGCTTCTATCGTCTATTCGATCCTCGTTTCGCGCGCTAACTGACGACTGCTTGTTGTTCAATGAAATCGTCGATACGACTCGTTGAAACGTGGGACATCATCCTCCCCTACCTTTCATTCTGTTCAAAATACCGATTTTTCGGTGATTTGTGTACCTTTGAAATGTCAAAATTTATTAATTACAGAATTTGTGGATTTTATAAAATTGCTTTGATTTGGTATTTACATTAATCGTTTATATAGAAGAAGCAGATTTTTATTTCATTTCCATAAAAATAAAAATATTTCACAGGAGGATCTCTTCAGCTTTCACCGTTGATCTCAAACAAATCTCCTCTTTCGAGTGATATTTCCTCATCGATCGAGATAACACGATGAATTTTTTCAAAAAACGCGAAGCCCATCGAGCGTTCGATTCCCGTACGCGTTCGTTTCGTCAATTATTTTCGCAGAGAGTAGTGTCAATCTTGCGATACGATAAATGGCCAAAGAGGGAAGCAGTCCGTTTAACTTTCAACAATTTTTTGTTCAGCTCCCCCCCCCCCCCTTTTTTTTTCATTTTTTTCAAACGGTCAATCCAAAGCAATTTTCAACAGATATTCAACGAAATTCGATCAATTCTCCGTGGAAAATAAAAAATACCCCTACTCGATCGTTATCGACAGCGCGAATCTCGACATCCGTTTCAATTAACGAGATCCTGTATGCCGGTCACGAAAAACATCGAATTCTAACTGATAAAAATATTTTGTTTGTAACTACCGCTGCCACTTGAACGTAATCTGGTTTCAAAGTAAATAATACATTGTTGTCGAATAAAATCTGTTTGTATCGCTTTCAGCCACGGTTTGCCTTTTCATTGGCCCACGCGATCGAAAGTACAATATTTTCACCCCTTTTTTGCCGTATGCTTTTATGAATCCTGATGTATTTGCTCTGCCAAACAGACAGGTTATTAAACTGTTACCTTGTTCCTGTATACGATCCATATTTTTGTCGGTTAATTTTTCTCTCCTCGTCCTTATTTGGCTTTCTTTTTCGACTACACCTTTTTATCCTTTTTCTCTTTACTCTGGTTCAAGCTTCTCTTTGAACGTTATTCTAATTCCTCTCTGCGGTATTTCTTTCGGTTTTCCATAGTTTTTTGTTACCGTTCTTGGTACCATTAATCTTATTTCTTTGGATTGTTGTTTTATTCTACGTCCCTTTCATCCTTTAAAGTTTGCCCCGTTAAGTTTTCCTCTTGCTTTTGACATTCTTTTTTCTTTCTCAATTTCTTCCTCTCTTTAATCTTGCCTTTTTCCTGGCTTATACTTTAACTCTGCTTTTATCTTCCCCGGATAAACTTCTATTTCCCTCGTTTTTGGTTTCATCTTCTCTTTGAAAGTTATCCTAATTTCCCTCGTAGGAAAACGTTTCTCTCGCTGTTTCGACCGATAGATCGTCTACCTCGGTGTTTCAATCAACTTCTGGACCACGAGATTCGTTACGTAAGAGGGCACGGAGGACTTGGATATAAGCGATTTAACAACAGCCCCTCGAATAGGTACACGCGTTCTATTATTTACACGCTTGTTCCGCGTTCTCCAGTCTCAAACGTGGGATCGTTTCGGCATTCGATACGATAATGCAACGTCTGACAGATAATCCAGCCGGAACACTGCTGGATAATGCAATAAATATCAAACCAACGGCGATTCTGGTGTACGTACAGATCGCTGGTTTGTTCTATATCAAAATCTATTTAAAAAACACCGCAGAGCCTATTCACGGTTTATCATTGTTCCTATTTGTTAATGCAGGAACTTCAAGTTGAAACTTTTTCATAACAGAAGATTATTACTCAACCGTATTGTATACCTCCTGTAAGTCTGAATCACAATCGAGATTCTGCTTTCCAAGGGTTAATCCAACCGCATGGAAAAACAAGAATACGATTATTCCCAGTACCACGTTTTCCTTTTCTTCTCAACGCGATACCTGCCGGAAACCGCGAAGTTCTCTTTGCCGCGATGCTTTTCGCAGCACGGAAACCGGCTGAGAGAAAAAAATAAAAAGAAAGTTACTTTCACAGTCTCTTTAGGCAGCGAGATTTTCCGTCCAAGTTTCCCCGAAGAGTAGAAGAGAGAGAGAGAGAAAAAATAAAATAAAATACAGCGAGTTCCGTGGGGCGGGGAAGAAGAACAAGGCCGAGGCTCTGTAGTGCTTGCTTTCCGTCTTCTCGCGAGATTGCTCTCTTTGCTCGGCGAATTCTGCACGAGGAAACTTGCCATTCCGTACGCGCGTGCGACTTTGCGGAGACAGCACCCTGTCTACCGAGCACCGTTAATCTAAGGCACAATGGAAAACCAGCTCGAGAGGAACTGTCACCAGCGTGGCTGTCAAGCCCGTTGACAGGTGTGTCGCTTCGCGGCCTGACCTCCTGACGTTGAATCGACAGGTGTCTTTCACGGACCTGGTAAACAGCTTTGATTAAAGCACCTTTTTTTTTCGTTGTCTCTTTCCTTTTGTGCCTTTCAGTTAATCGAGCGTCATGATCGTTAGCGGAAGATCTAGTTCCAGACGGAGCGTACCGTTCATTTAACGGGGTCGATCGTTCCTGGAATCATCGGTGTCATGGATTAAACGTATCGAGTATAAATATAATCACTGATTTTATTTAAATTAAAGGATCAATGTAGTGTCGACACGTTTTTTATTTGCCCGGTCAACGCATTAAGCATAGCCGGCTTAAGTTCGGTGATTAGGGGACAGGTGTTTTATGAGGGCCGAGTTTCGTTTTGACACTCGAAGACACCTGTTGTCCAACGTTTCTTTCTCTTTTTTTTTTTTTTTTCAACGCCATTAAACATGTGCGATGTAGACAAGACGGATAACGATTTTATGGTAATCGTGGAATCGATAATTCGTGAATGGGAGGATTCTTTTATTAATGAAAACAGGTAATTATTAGGAAAGCGACGGAACGTTGGGTTTAACGCGGCATTTCGAGGCGATAAAATCGTAAAGACATCAATTGGATCGTTGCAGCATGTGTACCGGTGTCTTGGAAGCAAGGTAACAACGGTCTATCTGAATTTTCCATCTAGAGGAGGGCAACACGTCAGGATTAACGTTATCGCGGCTCGTTTCTCCTCGCGACGGGATATACTGGTTTCTAATCGGAACATTTAAAAAACGTACACGTCCGTTCCCCTATGACAAACCGAGCTCGCATATCTGTTTACCACGAACCACGGAACCGGCCGATCCGTGTCCCATATTCGTGAAACCAGTCGAACTGGTGCCTGTTGAAAAGCGTTTCGTTCCGACCATTCCGAACCATGTCTCTTTTTTTTTTTTTTTTTTTCTTTAACGCCGATTTACCATAACGTACCGATGATTAGCGATCGAACAGGACACCGATACGTATCCGATGATATACGAACAATTTGTTAGCGGAATGCTCGATGACAAACGTCGAGGGAGTATTTCGATATGAATTTTTGATAAAGCCAACACTTTTCCGATTTTCCATCTCATTAGCATGGCGAGTGGGAAATTTGTACGCGGGATAGAATCACGAAGCGTGGTCGTATCGCTATAAAGCAGATAAATAATTCTTGTTTGTCCGATGTACGGTTAATGGGGGGGTGGGTCGTGGGAATTTTTGACGACGACGGAATTTCTCTGAAATATTCACGATGTTCGTGCGGCGTTTGGAAAAGTAATTTTCCGTGTGGCCAGGCTATTAACGAAACGGCTCGTTCGTTGTGCCTTTAGCGGCCGGTAAATTGTCGATAATGTGGACACGTTGGAAAATTCAACGGATCCTCGTGAAAAGTGGACTCATGGGCGCGCGTGTTCGCGTGTCCTGAATGCACAGTACACACGTCGAACGCGGCTCGGCCATTTTACGTATAGAAATAATTCATTTAGAATACGACCCGGTTACCCGGTTCGAATTTGCGATACACTATTTCCCATGGCACGTACAAATGTTCGATAACCCTTTTATCGTCGCTGATGACCGACTCGTTTCTCACCGAACGGTCTCTTATACTTTTGATAAATGAAACGTTGAAATTAGAAGATAGATAATTAAATCACAGCCATAGATGCTTAATGATTATTATTCATTTGTATTGCAATATGGTATATCGGATATGGTCATTTCCGGTATGACAGTGCAGGCGTTGGCTACTCTCAACCAGTCGATCAATATTCCTAACGTGTCCCAACAGTATCATCTCAACAGCAGGGTGTCTGCCACTCCGCAAACAATCTATATACATATCAAGGTTCTTGTTAAGAAATTTTCAATTGAATTAAACTTCTTGACCCACTGACTATCTCCTCGAGCCACCCGAATAATCTCCAATCACTCTAGTACCTTAACGATCGATAATTATTCTATAACTCGGGAAACATCGATGGACGAGGAAGGTACGCAGCTCACGCTCCCGTTTGCCTTTTGCAGATGCCTCGTCGTCGAACGAAGCGGTGCACCTACAGCAGCGTCTGAGGAGCCTGAGCACGGAACTGGTGACCCTGAGGAACCGGCTGCACGTGAACCAGCCGCCAAACAATTCAGGGCCGAACGTAGTCGCGTCCGCGCCCCTATCGAAGAGCCCGGAAAAAGGTGTCGTACCATCGTCTCCTGCACCCGCTGTACCACCAAGGACAACGTTACCGCTGGCTGGCACGTTACCCCATGGCCTCGGTCATCCTTCGGGACACACGTTGACGGCGTCCGCGATCGTTCATCCTCACGTCAATCACGCCGGCGCGAACACGCTTGGCCACAACTCGACCGCAGCTAATAATTTAATATCCGGTCAGTATCCCGGCTGTAGACGCGTATCTCACCGGAACACGATGCATGTTGGGACACAGTGGGTGATCGAAGATGATTGTTGTATGACAGAGACAGGAGAGAAAGAGAAATAGGCTGATGTGGGATCCGAGGGGATGAAATATGATGGAAGGAAAATTTTCTTTCTTCCTCTATCTTCGATTTGATTCTAGAAATAGATTTATAGGGTTCCTTGTATTCGATTATGATTTAATGGTACCTTCGATCGAACGGTCTGACGTGACTCGATGACGGAAAATAACATTTATGATATTTTTGAATTGATTAAAATAACAACGATAAAGGAAAGTATCGGAGCAGGAGCGATTCATGGTTTATTTTGAAATGAGACCCTTCGCGATTTCAACCAACGAGAGAAATAAAACTGTTTGCACGCTGAGAACGGTTTATTCGCTCGATAGCCCCCCGTCTGATCTCGAATTCCTTCCGGTTAATCGAGCCCCGCTTCGACCCGGATAAATTGCACGCGTGTACAGTTAACCGCGATTCGTTTCCATTTGATCGAGATCTCGTTATTATCGTTTGCTTTCTATTTGTTTCCTCTCTTCGCTTCTTTTTTTTTTTTTTTTTTAGATTTCTTGAATCTTGAAAATTATGAAACCAGTTGGCCTTGAAGTTATTGAAATCAATGCATTTTGACTTGAAGTTTCTAGTTTGGTCGAGAACTTGTCACGAAATAGTGTGTCAGGTGTTATCGTAAGATCGTTTCCACGTTTCTTTACAGATCTAGATTCTCCAAAGCGTCATAATGGAATACCGGATGACGGTATAGTATCCTGCGTGACAGCACTCGGATGCCTGCGTTCGCCACCCATTTCCAGCATCATCGCCGATGTGAAGAACGCGAAGAGCAATCAGGGTCAGCATCGATGTCTTACAAAAGGCAGCACCGGTACGTCAGGCCCTCCAACCGCCACGACCTTGGACGACCTAATTCATTTACCTGGACCACTAACGGAAGATGCTGTGCTCAAGTGTCTGCAGGCTCGATTTTGCGCGAAACAATACCACGTGAGTGTTTAATTTTCATTTTAAGCCATTTTTACCATTTTCCATTACCCTTATCTATCTTAGGTAAATATAAGCATTTCAACACTTTTTCTTCTTTTTTATAACAAGTTGTACAATGTTCATTTTATATTACGTTAATATATTACAGAAGCTTACGATCTCATCAATAGACGGCGATTAATATAAAGTAACAAGAATAATAGATCCCATGAAATATAGAGAGGAGAGAGAAAAAATGCCATCGAGTTTCAAGAATAAGAGAACAAAAAATGGAGGTCGATTAGACGAGATAGGTTCATTATTCAGCATGTACTTCGTTAGAGATTTATAAGGGTGCTCGTAATTTCTGCGCTAATTGATCCTTTATGCTCTCTCTATCGATCGAACTTACCTCCTTCGGGATTCATAATGCTCGATTCTCAGACACGACCAGCTGCTAGAATAGAAGGCTCATTTTCTCTTTCCTCCGCATTTTCTCCTCGTTTTTCCTACATCAGTCTTACAAAATACATCTTGAATCTTCCTTTCCTTTATCTGACGCGTTTATTGCTTCGTAAACAGCGACGAAGCCGAGATGCGTCGAGATTGTTGCTTGAATTTAGATACCGTTAAAAATTTTAACGACCATCAGGGCGATGGTGTTCCGAACATAGCGAAACAAGATTTTTATGGAAAAATCTATTTCTTGATAATTCGAAATTTCATAATTGTCTTAACCTGATGAACGAAGAAAGAGGCAAGTGATATTCATAAGAAGAATCTAAGCACGAGCAATTTATACTAGCAGGCAGCTCGAAAGCTCTCAGCAGCGAGAATCGAGAGGGCATCGGAGCCCATGGGGCCTGACATGGGACCGGTTCTACTCTCCCCACTTACCTTTCGGGCATTTTTCACCTTTTTGTTCGTTCCACGGCGTGTTGCTTTCTCTAGGTGGGCTTCTAATAGGAATCAAGGCCCGCCAAAGCCTGGCCGCTCGTAGCCTGTTGCACCACCCTCTTACTCTTTACCTCCTTCGCCGCCTCTCTCGCCGTTCCCCTCGTCTCTGCTCCATCGCGCCGTTAACCTTCCCCGCCCAAACTGTCTCGATTTTCGACTCTTCTTTTATCCCAATTCCAGGGCTATCATCCAGGAATTTACGACGAGCCGCGAAATATTATCGCGCAAGTCCAATTGATTTTCATCCCCGCGGATAACAAACCGTCGCGTTCATTCGGCCAGGTCAAAGCAAGATGAATGTCCCCCCCCCCCCAACGTCTCACGTGTTGCTATCATTAACTCTCTTAGACTTGCGAGTCACGATTAATCATCTGGTAGGTAGAGAGCTTTCGTTGCAAGGTGTTCAGAGTCCGAACAGCCGTAGCTTGATAATGACAAACGGGCGATACCGTCGTCCCCGGTGTCAATCTACAAAGCCGCGATGCGAATGTCAAAAGGGGGTAGCAACCGGGAGTACGAACAAGTAAGATAACCGAAAATGCATTTCAGACGAACGTGGGCCCGATACTGGTCTGTATCAATCCTTATACGGACGTCGGCAATCCATTGACCTTAACGAGCACCAGGGCCGTACCATTGGCGCCCCAGTTGAACAAAGTCGTTCAGGAAACCGTGCGACAGCAATCGGAAACCGGGTATCCGCAAGCGATAATCCTATCCGGTAAACAATCGACCACCTCCTTATCATTTTTCAAAGGAAAATAAAGTTACATTTACGTTTGAACCGTGTTCTCTTCAGGAACCAGTGGTTCGGGAAAAACTTACGCGTCCATGCTGTTACTCAGGCAATTGTTCGACGTAGCTGGAGGTGGTCCAGAAACGGACGCGTTTAAACACTTGGCTGCAGCTTTCACGGTTCTCAGGTCTCTTGGATCCGCTAAGACTGCCACCAACTCGGAGAGTTCTAGGATAGTACGTGACAAACTTCCACGATCGTTTTTCCACCGAGAAATCGACGAGACTAAGGCGTTTCTTTCTATAGGGCCACTTTATCGAGGTTCAGGTTACGGACGGCGCTTTGTACAGAACGAAGATACACTGTTATTTCTTGGACCAAACGCGAGTCATCAGGCCCCTGCCGGACGAGAAGAACTATCATATATTTTATCAGATGTTGGCAGGATTGTCTCACGAGGAAAGAGGTAGATCATTGAATCCCAATCATCAATCAAAAGGATAACACTGTAGTATCGTACGCGTCTACTAAGTTGAGACTCGAGGTGTGAAACGCTCCGCCTAATCCTCACCACGAACCCTCGTCTAGTAGTAGTAGTAGTAGTTTCTACTAGTAGTTGTAACCTAGAGAGCGAATAGCGAGAATGCGTGTGGGTCAACTGTATAAGTGTGCGTGTCTAAGTCTGGCCCATCTAGCTCCGACCAATCAGACCCAATTCCTTAGGAGTCTCAACTTAGCAGACGCGTACAGTACACGTTCCCTGATCATTCGTTTACACTGTAAGATATAATAGAGATAATTGCAAAGAATTTCTTCTTTTATTTTCTCCATAGTCAAGCTTAATTTGGAGAGTTACAACCTGAAGAACCTGAGGTACCTGCAGCACGGAGACACCAGGCAAGACGAGGCCGAGGATGCTGTCAGGTTTCAAGCTTGGAAGGCTTGTCTCGGTATGTTGCTACCCACACGATGATCCATTTCGTTCCTGAATCAATTAGTCCAAGAGAATCACTTTCAATCCTTCGAATTACACCGGAATTCCTCTGCAGGGGTGTTAGGTATACCGTTCCTGGATGTAGTTCGAGTTTTGGCCGCTGTTCTGATCCTCGGGAACGTTGGTTTCGCGGACAGACCCGGCGTAGAAGTAGGCGTGATCGGGGAAAGCGAATTAGCCTCGGTAGCAGCGTTGCTGGGAGTACCACCGCCTGCCTTGTTGCGAGGACTCACCTCCAGGACTCACAATGCTCGTGGCCAACTGGTGAAGTCAGTTTGCGATGCGAATATGGTACTGTTGATTCGTTCCTTGCACCTCTCCGTGTTATCGCGCGTTGTTGAAGAGGAATCATGTTGAAGGGTGTTTCTTTACGCAGTCTAACATGACCAGGGATTCACTGGCGAAAGCGCTCTACTGTCGCACCGTGGCTACTATTGTGAGGAGAGCGAACAGCCTGAAGAGATTAGGCTCCACTCTTGGCACGCTGTCCTCGGACTCGAACGAGTCCGTTCACAATCAGGCCGAGGTGACCAGTCAGCATGCTTCTACCATTGGTAGCTCTGCAGGTATATATAATCAAATTGCGAAGATAGATTTTTGCGGAGACTCTATATTATAATTCCTAGCTTGTTATCTTTGTCGGTTGAGAATATTGTAAAAAAAATAACGTTGATATCAAGTCAAAATAACCACGTCCCATTTTATATAAGAAAATTGATTCAAATTCCTACTTATTATACAAGGAGCCCGTTCTACCGAAGTTTATTTAGAAGAATTTAAATATTATACGAATAAAGTAAGGTACGTATTAACACCCTTATCGTGACGCTTGGGTGCCCATTTTTTTTTCTCTCTCCTATCAGCATGGATCTCTCGTGTCATGTGCAGGTGGCACCGGTTCCAGGAGCATGACCGCGTTGAACAACGCGGTCAGACACGCGACAGACGGGTTCATCGGGATCCTGGACATGTTCGGGTTCGAGGATCCGAAACCAAGCCAGCTGGAACACCTGTGTATCAATCTGTGCGCGGAGACGATGCAACACTTCTACAACACCCACATATTCAAGAGCTCGATCGAGAGTTGCCGCGACGAGGGTATACGATGCGACGTGGAGGTCGACTACGTCGACAACGTGCCGTGTATCGATCTGATATCCTCCTTGGTGAGCCATCAGACTTCGAGTATCTAAGACATATTTGGATATTGACGAGACGTATCATTCGTGTGACGATTCGTTCCTCAGCGTACAGGGTTGTTGAGCATGCTGGACGTCGAGTGTTCGATACGAGGCACCGCTGAAAGCTACGTAGCAAAGGTGAAAGTGCAACACAAACAAAATCCACGACTGTTCGAACCTAGAACCGTCGATGGCAGATCCTTCGGGATTCAGCATTTCGCTGGAAGAGTGACTTACGACGCGTCCGATTTCCTTGGTACGCATGGAACAATTTCCAGAGGATTTAACCTCAGTTAGAATTTCATTTGTTATAGATTCAAATAACCGCACCGCGATTCTCTTTTACTCTTTTCAATTCTTCCTCGAAGAGAACGTAGAATTTAAAGATTCTAACTTCGATATTGACTTTTTCCTCATATTAAGTTCCCTTATGAATACGAAGAATTCGTCCGGATAGTCGGCGATCCACGGAGTTTCAAACTCCCCTGCTACTTTTCTCATTTTCGTTGAGACGTAGAAACTTGAAAATTCTGACTTTGATATTAACTTTTACCTTGTACTAAGGGAAATGTCTCTTACAGAGATCAAGAGATTTAATTTCTTACAAGTTACTCTTCTTTCTAAAAGATACCAACAAAGACGTGGTACCTGACGACTTGGTAGCTGTATTTTACAAACACACCTGCAGTTTTGGTTTCGCCACTCATCTGTTTGGCAGTGAATTGAAAGCATTGTACGCGAGTGACACAGTACCAAGGGGTGTCAGCTTTAGGATATCACCAACTTCTCACACAGATCTGTAAGTTTCTCACCTGTCTAACGATTGACAATAAATGCATCCCTATTTAAAAACGAAGAATTTCTTACATCATCGTCTTGACGAAGCTTAATCCTCTTCGTTTCCAGTCTGAACGGCGACGAGCCTATCTCCACGTTAACACAGGACTTTCATACGAGGTTGGATAATCTGCTGAGAACTCTGGTCCACGCGCGACCCCATTTCGTCAGGTGCATTAGGAGCAACGGCACCGAGACACCCATCCATCTAGACAGGGCCGTGACTATGCGTCAGATACGATCACTTCAAGTTCTGGAGACAGTGAATCTAATGGCTGGCGGTACGTCTTGAAACTCGAATCTCAAACACCGAATTTATCTTATCCCGTAATCGTTCGGTGGCTCGTGTCTGCTCTTTCCCCAAGGAACTGTGAATTAACTTGACAACTTCTCACTTCTTTTTCGGACGAGTTGCATAATAAAATGAATATAAAGGCTGAATTCATCGCGAATATCATCGATGTCGCGAAAACTTGCAGGATATCCACACAGAATGCGTTTCAAAGCGTTCAACGCAAGGTACAGGCTAATCGCGCCGTTCAAGCAGCTTCGCCGTGCGGAGGAGCAAGCCGTAGAGGATACGAAGCTTATCCTGCAAAACGCTCAACAATTGAAGAGCAAATTCGGCGCGAGTACCAGCTGGGCTCTCGGTAAAAGGCACATCTTCTTGAGCGAGGGCATTAGGCAACAGCTTGAGAATCTGCGCTCGGAAACGCGCAGGAAAGCCGCCACCGTGATACAAGTAATGCAATTTTTCGCGGTTACCTTATCTCCTAATTACTACGGAAACTTAAAACGCGAGATTTCTTTTTGAACGAACTGTCGTATATTATTTTCTTCCTTCAGATTTCCGCCTTGTACTCTTCTATTATTTCGAATCTTTAAAGGGTATTTGAAATTTAAAGAAATATATCATTTATTTCGTTTCGTGGGGCAGGAAATTAGATGGAGCTTAAAGAAATTTATAAGGGTATCGTTTATTTCTTTACCATTAGGCTACGTGGAGAGGCTGGCGAGTGCGTAGAAGATGGCCTTTGAGGAAGACCACAATAGGCGTGACTTCCGGGATCGGTCAGAAGAAGCCGCAACAGCCCACGTCGGCCAACACTGGAACCGTTCAAAGGAACGTTACGACTGGTACGGCAACCGGAACCGGAACCCGACCCAGGCCACAGCCAATCGCTGGTACACCACCGCCCGATCCTTCGGAGAAGTGCGCCGATCAGAAGATGATCCAACAAACGTGCACCCTCTTTGGACTCGATTTGGTAAAGAGATATTTGAAGAATCTTTCTAACAATCTCGTTTCTGTGGAATTTCTTCTAACCAGGAACTTTGGAACTTTGTTTCAGGAACGACCACCACCTGTTCCACCAAGTAGATCCTACACCGTTACAGGAAATACGAAATTGGGTTACCCTCAGACAAGAATCATGAAGATGCCTTTCCCAGGTAAGGGAATTTATCAATTTATAGATAGTATAATAGACTTTGATTCAAATCTAAAATTCAAATTACTATGATGATGTTTTTTTCGAATCTGTGTTGGGCTATTAAACCTTTGACTGGGCGTTTTCGAATTTTGAGTCTAGAATTATTCACCAATCGAGATAGGATCTTAAATATGTATATCCTTGCGCGATCTTTGCAATCTTCTTGGATGTTCCACTCGTCTGTTCGCAGTTTCCATTTTCCAGATAAACGAGGATTTGTTTCTGTTTTCAGAAGAGGGTGAGGGTGAGGTTGTTCTGCTTAAGGGTGAAACGGTATTGGTCGTAGGCGCGTCTCCTAGACGGGGTCACCTCTTGGTGGAGCACAACAACGCAACCCTACACGTGCCTTATCAGTTCATGGAACTGAAACCTTGTAATATTAACGTCTGAACGCGTTATTTATTTAATACCATCTCGTTGTTCGATCGACGCCATCGTGTAACCGAATCGTTTCAATTTTCAAGCGAACCATCGAAAGAACAAACGAAATTCTTACGAAGGGATTCAGATTTCACCGAGACAGTGGTTACGAATGAAAGAAGAAGCCTGATTCGCTTCAGGACGGACGAAGGTTCTCTTTGAAAAATCACAGTGGCGTAATGACCATCGCACACGTCGGTTCTAATTTAAAAGAAGTAGAATCGGATTCTTCCCCTTTGTTACTTTTCTTCAACGTCCAACAGTAATCCACCATTATGCCGACATTCTATCTCCTTTAACGTATCCTTTCCACTTCTTTGTGGTATTCTTTGTGAATCATTCTCCATACATAAAGTAAAACGTTCCCCGTCTCTGTGATTATTTTCCATCGAGGAGAAATATTATTATTCTATAAATTTCCATCGGAAATGTTATCTTTTTCTTTTTATATCTTCCATCAGTGGCGTCGTTTCGACAACGAAAAATGGTAAAATAGCGGGCACGAACAGGATTAAGTAGCTTAACTCGTTCAGCTCTTCCGGCAGGACATTAAACTTTGTCCTTTAATTAATTACACCGGCCGTTAAGCGAGTTTAACGCGGAAGTCAGTACACAGGTGCTTATCACAGCCTCACCGTCGACGTTCTCCTTCTTGCGCGGCACCACCTCCCTGCGAGTCACGTTCGTCTTCCATGTAGATAAGTACACGCACGTCGACGTGCATCCTCGAATTAGTAAGCATGTTAGCCGTTAAATAGCTTCGAGACTGGTGCTGACTCTCGGGAGAACGTACAAGCAACCTTGTATGCATAGATTTTACTCCGTCGTTGAACAACGATGTCTCGTCGGCCCCCTGCTGAACCCATTAATTCCCAAAGCTTCGAGTACATTGTTATCAAGGCGTAAACAAAAGTGAATGCAAATAGGTAATAAGGTAAGAATAAGTATTTACTTGTAATACTAAGAGTATTAATGCGACTGTAAATAATTACTGAAAATTTGTGGTCAGAAAAGGCAAACTTTGGGTATTAATCAGTTGTTCAACCCTTAATTTCTTTTTATTTTCTTTTTCTAACTTACCGTGCAAAATACGTATTTTTATTATAAATTTCTAATGGTGTTTAACTGGAAATACAGAGGACCTATAGCAATATAGGTTTATTCAAATTATTTATAGTACCAAGTGTAGGTATTTTGGACGGTAAATTACCATGGATGGAAAGGAGGGTTTAGCAACGTAGACAGCTGACGGGGGCCAATTTCAAGGGTGACTTTGCTGTGTCTAAGAAGAAAATTGTAGAAAGTAAGATCGAGAGGGTCCTCTTTGAAAGAGTCCTCTTGGGAACCATTTGAAGAAGCGTACCCATGACGGGGAAAGGCTCGAAGAAGCCGAGGGTTAGAGGATATTTACCAACAGTATTCCTTCGTCTATCTTTGAATTCTTAGTGCCAATTTCTAGAGAGAAATCTGCCGCTACGATACCGTGGAAAATCTTCGAATGTCCCCTTCAATTTTCTCCAACTTTCATTCAACAAACTTATAATCAACTTTTTGTGAATCATTCTCCATCCAACGCATTTAATTACAAAAATTCGTAATGAAACAACTAATTATCTATTTTAATTATTACTTTGATTATTGAAGAGAACATTCGATCATCTTGCACGGTGTATTTGTACATGTATAATATTCGATTAAGCTTCTCTATGTAAGACAACTCGACGATAAGTATAAAGGATAGGTCTACTCGATATTATTCTATCATTATCGCGAATAATCATAACGCCACAGTTCTAACATTGAATCGGGAAAGGTAGAGATACGAGCGCTTTGTAGATACAACGAAAACTCGTTCAGTTAGAAACGATAAGCGTCCATTGAGAGAACCAGTTCGCCCTAGAAACTCTCTCGAGTAACATCTCGAGGGTCTGTACATACCAGTATGTATGACGATGTTACGTAGTTTACAGATACCGAAGCCTAAAGTACGAGTATAGGTAGCTGTAAGTGCGTCGAGATATTTTTTAATAAAATGTGTAAGCGTATTTGAAACTACAGCTCTGTGATTTGTCTAATTTTAGAGCACTGAATCATTTAATATGTTACCGGCAATCTATTGTATAGAATGCCTGGCGTTTTTAGGCAAAGTATAAAAACATCAGAATTATTTTATATTAATATTATATATTCTAAAAATTAGTAAAATGAGAAAAAATCTTAAAAGGTCTTTAACTTAAAATTTTAATTTTGGGAAAAATTAATATCATTTATACCAGGATTTAGATCTATTTTTCATACATTGCCGATAACATATACACTAATTGTACTTTATTTCAACCCTTTAATCTCTAAATTTCATCCCCTGTTAAACAGTGAAATCCATAAATAATTGGATGTCGATGTTAAAATCAACCCGTCCGACAATATTTTCGTAAAATTTCTCTGTCGTAAAGGTATCATCGTCCGTCGAATAATTAACCAAATTCCTGTCCACCGTGACGCGGATCAAAAGGAGTCATGAAGTGAAAACGTAACCCACCGAGCGGAAACAAGCCAACCGAGTTACATAAATTCCACTGGTCCCCTGGCCCACGGGACAATGTTAATTAAAAGCTAATTAACGCCGGATCGCGGGATCAGTCGCGTTGCTCGTTAATGGGAACGCTACTCGCGCGATACCTGGTTGTTATCGTTTTATTTATCAAGCCAGCCTCGTACGAGCAGATCCAACGGCGCGTGCAGTTGCACGTGTAACCGGCACCACGTGCACGAATGTTGTAAGTCGTTCAGGCGAGATAAGCACGCGTGTTTCACGCCCGAGTTACCCTCGCAAGGGAGACGTGTTCAACGTCGTTCGAATGGTTTGATTATGGAACGAGTTAGGACGATTGGAAAATTGAACGCGTGACACGTTTGTACGCGGACCGAGTTTAAAATGAAGAGTTCAGATATTAAATTTCCTCCTGATGAAATTACTTTTATAGCCTGGTTCCCGCGAGATATCGTCGATAATCGCGACCGGTTCGAAAGCGGTGGTCTGCTTCGCGAAGATAAGGAAAATCTCCGTGGACCCACCCTGAAAAATGTGTATCGCGCAAATAACTGCTCGTTTACGTCGGCTTTGTTTCTGCTTCGAATTAGAAATTGCTCGATAAAGAGTGAGACTGAAAGAATAAGTTACAAAGGAATTCGCCGAGGGGATTCGATTGGATCTTTTAATTAACCATCGAAACCCGAAGCTTTCGGGATTTAAATATTATTATATAATTCTAAGTATAAATAGGAAAAGTTTCGAACAGGAATATTCGAAGGAGATATCGAAATATAAAGTGACTACAGATATAGAAGACTGGACCCAATTTCCTTTTTGATTTATTTAGATAACTTCATTTCCTATCTGAGTTATCTAGATCATTTACTTAACTCCTTTTTATAAACATAATATACAAAAATCGAACTTAAATTAAAACTTATTTATTATATTATTTTATTCTTCTTTATGAGCCAAGGGCCCACCCCTTCTATTATTTCATCTCTCTCTATTTATTTTATCCCTTTTCATGGGTCAAGGTCCATCCTTATGAATTATTTATTACGAGGGCCCACCCTTGTATCCCTTATACTCCTCTACAATGGAAAAGAATTGTAATTTAATGTGATAGAATAAAGTTTGCACCGTGAAATTTTTCATGACGTTCGTCTACTACGGTGATCGAGCTTCCAACAACGTCGATGACCGTGGTTTGACAGCGAGATTTTTTTTTTCTCGCAACGAGCTCGGTTGTTTGTGGTGTCGCTGGCACCCATGGGAGATAGAAACGATCGAATTTGGAACAGTGTAACGGGACAACGTCACGGCCTCGTGTACACCGAAATAACCTCGGTCGCTTCGATTTGCATTTCAATCGGTCTCCCTATCATTTCTCCCTCCCTGTTGTTGTCGAAAAAAAAAAAATGCGTAACCAACCCCCTTCTGAATCCTCTCTGCCAATTATTGCCCTGCCGACCCCTTGGATCAGCTTCATTCTTTCGTTTCAGGGAAACTGGATTTAGTTTCGACAGGGTGGCTCTTTGTTTTCGAGTAGAATTTATTATTTCAAGTTTCCATCCCCCAAAATGAACGATATCGATCGATAGTGTTATTTGGGTTTTTAATTATGCCCTGAAAGTACACTCATCGAGTCTATCCACAGAAACTGACGAACGGTTGCATTATAACAGGTGTCTGGAAGCGATCGCTTGATTTACGCGAGCTTACCGGGGGGTTGGAAACGACCCCTTCGCAAGTCAGACGGGAAGACGGATCAGGAAAGTTTCGCGAGCCAATCACCAGACGCGGATATCGGGGGTCTGACGATAAAAATGACAAAGTCTTGGAACTTTCTCCACGTCGCGTCTTGTCGGAACATCCCCCGCGTTTCTTTCACCGTTTCTTCGATCTCTCGTTAAATTTTACGTCGACGACGATGCGCTTCCGGTCGAACGGTCGTCAATTCATCAAGGTAATACTTACCATTCGCGATCCTCGATGAGAAACGAAGAAAATCAATGGATTTGAAGGGGAGTTGGTTGAAGGGGAGAAAGACTAGACAAAGATTTTTCTAACCGGTCTCATTTATTTGGTAACTCATAGATATACACGTTTAACGTTCTCTTAAACCTAGAGAAAGGAAAAAGAAGATAAAGGAAATCGAAAACGCAACAGGACCTCGTGCCTCTTTTTTATGGAAGGAAAAAAGAGAAACGACGTGTCCTAAAATCATTAGAAAAATACACAGTTTGCGCGCAAATCCTTTCAACAGAATCTCGTCGATGTTTCAAACTTATTCTTGCGATTAATCGTTCCCTAGGCGGGTGTTTCTCCCTTCTCTCTTTCTCTGTGTATATGCGTTTGTGTACACGCTTATGTGTGCGCGCGTTCCTTTCGCCCTAAGCGTCGTATTAATTATCAATGCGTTTACAAATGTTTCTACGAAGAACAGACCGTCCCGTTTCGCATAATTATCCATTAACCCTTTCGAAGCCAACGATCATCTTTGGCCGCGTTTCTCCGTGTTCAGACGGAATTGGTAGAACGGTCGGTTGCAAAATCGCCAACAGGGGGAATATTGTTTTTAACGATACGATCGTAGAACGGCAACGAGCCGTGTCCCGTTCAATTAGAGCAGCCACTTTAACGAGTTAAACGGTGATTCTGGTTGGAATTCGATAAGGTAAACGCGTATTCGAGTCGGAAGCGTTGATTCGGTGAATCGGCGCATCAAGCGGTGGCTCGTTTCTACCTATCGTTCCTAATTTCACGCGTTAATTAGCGACTAACGTGCTAATTGAACCCTTCGATCGATAAACCGTGATTGCCTCAACACCTTGTATCTTGGCTATTAGGTGGACGATCGAACGTGTCGAACAACTTCTGTACAAGTTTCACGCGTTAACATATGTCGAATGTCGACGGTGCAAAATGATCGTTTGCAGTATGTCACGTTATTGTTACTTTTTACATCTCCTTTACTGTATCATCGATGGATACGTTTAATGGAAAATTCATCCAGCGAGGGATTTGTTGCACGATACGTGCAATCGGATGTTCGAACGTTTATCTCCCTCATAATTGCACAACTTTGTAGCTTTAGAATCGAGTGAAATTCATTGGCTGTGAAAGTATTAATGGAACGCGATCTGATAAATCTGGTTACGTTTTGAGTCAGATCGATTTCCTGAATTTTTCATGGTGAATATTAATTAAATGTAATTTTATCCTCAATAATTGGAGTTCACGGCAAAAATAGATTAACACGTTGGCTGCCATTTTATATAATTCAATTATTATTCAATTTTGAAATGTAAACCTGTCTAGTTGTAAAGAAACGGTAAAGTTAAAAAATTCATTTTGTTAATTAATGAGATAACGAAGTGGTTAAACGGACTTACAGCGAAAGGAACCGCTGGCAGACGAATGGACACAATCAATGGTACGTGGATTCGTTGATATGTTCTACTTAATGTCGAAATCTTATTATCGTACGGCCGCACCATAAGAAAAGCCAGACGAGGCCAGGTGCACGGATTTATACAGATGAAAAGGAAACTGCACTCTCTTACACGAACACTCATACCTCAGCATTCGATAGCTTCTTGGCTCCGAGTTGCACCGGTTTGCCTCGTAATGCGAATAATTCTTTCGTTACTCGACGATTTTCTCTTTCTATCTTACAGGGAGGGTAACTCGAATTGAGATTGGAATCACCCTATGGGATTACATTGCTCTATCTCGATTTTATATTCGTCTCTGACATCTTTGTGGTTCGTTCTTGCCTCCGGTCAGATTCCTTCACTCGTTTTACAACCGTTCTAAAGAAAAGTAGATGGGCCCTGGGTGCTTTATCTACGAATTTATGGACGAGGGAAAGGGTTGTGTTTCGATAGGAAACTTCGTTACACGAATAGGGTGGTTTATTAGTACGATGCTGGAATTATTTTAAGAGGATTCATTTAAGGGATATTTTAATAGAGATATTTCTTAACTTCAATTATGAATTGCTATCTAATTAATTTAATGAAAGTGAGAAATAATCCTTTGATCCTCTTTGGGTTCAAATGAACGATCACATAATTTTCATAATTATTCCATCTGTTGGGGTGTTTGAAAATTATTTCAAATAAGTACATAGGTACACCCAGGTCTCCCATCTATCTCCACGAGTCCACCACCTGAAGAAAGCAAGAAAAATCAATCGTACAGCTACCAGGTATACACATCGACGTTTCTTGGCATCATACATTTACTCGCGTTAAGAATACGAATCGTACAAAACAACTATTAACGTCCGCCCGTTGGTCGTCTCATCGCATGGGAGATGATCCACCTCTGCGATCACTCCTTTCAAGATACCACAACTTTCTCCACCTCTCTCTCTTCACCTAGAAGATACTTAGAAATCCTCTAGTAACAAGGTGAAAAAGTACGAGCCAATCGCGATAATAATTTATCGATCCTCCGGTTCGGAGTAACTCGCGTAAATATCGCAGGACGAAACGAAGCACACCCTGTTATCTAAAGTTTCGCCATCAGCTGTTGTTCCAGCCGGAGAGATTAACGCTGTGAACTCCTTAAAGTCGCTTTTCACAGACGTTACGAAACTTGGCTGGATGATGCTAGAACTTTACAACACACAGACATACATACATACACACAAACACATTTCTCTTCAAACCTTTTCATGTTGCTGTTGTTGTTGTTGTTGGTGGTGGTGGTGGATGAAAGATCGGGCGATGAACGAGGGGCGGAAGTCGAAAAGAGAAGAGCCAACGGGCAGCGTACGGGTTGGACAGTAATTGATTAGCTTCTCCTAGTCTCACAACTCCATGAAATCGTGCTTTCATCATCTTCTCACCATCTTTAAATAACACCATTAATTTATCTTTTTTTCTTTTCTCTTTCATTCGTTTTACTTAGCGTTAGGGTAGATAGTTTTAATCGGTTACTTTAGGCGCGTTGATTAGTTACGATTCTCCCCTCCCAGTCCCTCCCACTCATTCTAGCCTACTTGTTGCGTGTACTTTCCTGGAAAAATCGCGTGGTGGATGGCTTCGTAATCGCCCGGTTAAATATTACTTTCTTTCTTTCTTTTAGAGAGTCTTTCTTCCCTATCGAGCAACTCGATCACGGACCATCTTGATCGATCCTTCACTCTGTAATTCAACCCCGATCGGTTCGGGGTTAGAAGCGCGAGAAAAAACACGGATCCAGTGTTAAAAGGATCCTCGGGAGTCCCTTTTTATATTGTTCCATGGAAGCTTGATCGGTTCTTCCTGGTCCATCGAGACGTTCCTATGGTTGTTCTTTGCTTTCTTCTGCCTACCCTGCCACCTTTCTTCTATTCTCCTTCTCTCTCTCTCTCTCTCTCTCTGTCCATGGCGAATCGCATGGATTCAGTGGAGGAAGACACTGGTGACGGACCTGGTGGTGTGGGGTGGCAGATCGGGGGCCTCCGTAGGGGCCCCCTCGTACCCCTATGCGCTCAAACCGAGCCGATGAATCTTTGCTGAGAGGAAGTTGTGCAGAACGAACACGATCGGCTTTGGACAACTATCCAAATCCAGCTCCTGGAACATAGAATTAACGACGGAATAGAATAGCTGACTTCAAGCACCGTGCGTCGCCCACTTTCGGGAAGAATTCTTGAGAAGTACAATAGCATTCTAAATCTTCATTTTGCACATTACAATATCCTTCCTTTTAATAACGCGGAAACATGTCTGTGAGTGACGCTGAGACGTTGTACGCATGCTCGAAAACCAGGTAGAAAAATGTTATATGTGTACTCTTACAATGATAGTACCACAGTATCTATCGAGCATCAAATTTTTGTTAAAAATTTAAAATAAAGATTATTTGCGTCAACTTTAAGACGTTGAATAATGACTACTTAATTAGCGCCACTGTCGGTGGCCGTGGGGTTTTAGTCAGTAAGAATCTGACACTCCCCCGCCGTCCTCCCCCAGGGGTCGGCGGGGGGTCTTATGCAAGATTTCCCCACGTTAAAAAAAAAAAAAAAAAAAAAAAACAATCTTTCACATCTCTGCTTTCCTTACATTCCTGCATCCCTTACATCTCAGCTTTCCTTACATTCCTGTATCCCTTACATCTCAGCTTTCCTTACATCCCTGCATTTCTTACATCCTTCTGTCATCCCTTACATCCCTGCATCCCTTACATCCCTGCATCCTTGCATCCCATTATAGCGCCATCTGGTTTCAAAAAAAGGAACTAAAGCTCGTCGAAAGTTTGGCCCTCGGGCGGGAAAAATTTGAACTAAAATTTCAATGTTGAATCAGCGCCATCTGGTTTCGAAAAAAGGAACTAAATCTTGCTGAAATTTTGGCCCTCTAGCGGGAAAAATTTGAACTAAAATTTCGATGTTGAATCAGCGCCATCTGGTTTCGAAAAAAGGAACTAAATCTTGCTGAAATTTTGGCCCTCTAGCGGGAAAAATTTGAACTAAAATTTCGATGTTGAATCAGCGCCATCTGGTTTCGAAAAAAGGAACTAAATCTTGCTGAAATTTTGGCCCTCTAGCGGGAAAAATTTGAACTAAAATTTCGATGTTGAATCAGCGCCATCTGGTTTCAAAAAAAGGAACTAAAGCTTGCCGAGATTTTGGCCCTCTAGCGGGAAAAATTTGAACTAAAATTTCAACGTCGAATCAGCGCCCTCTGGTGGCAAAAAAAGGAATTAAATTTTGCAAAAATTTAAATTTAAAATTATTTTTACTTACCTTTACTTACCTTTACTCGCACCAGCGGCCATAAGTATTTTATTTATAATATATTTATTATAAGGGTTAAAAGGATAAAAGAGATGCAGGGAGAATTCAGGAGTGTAAGGGATACAGAGATATAAAGGGTACAGAGATGTAAGGGATACAGATATAAAGGGTACTGAAATGTAAGGGATACAGAGATGTAAGGGATACAGAGATATAAAGGGTACTGAGATGTAAGGGATACAGAGATAAAGGGTACAGAGATGTGAGGGATGCCGAGGTATAAGGAATGCCGGCATATGCGAGATGCAGGAATATAGGGAATGTAGTGATATAAGGGATACAGGGATGTTAAGGATGCAGTGATAAAGGGTTGGGCCTGGTAAGGCCCTTAAAGACAAAAAAATAATAAATAACTGAGAAGGTTGAGCCGAGGCGCATAAGTCAAATTTTAACTGATTAATTCCCCGTGCATAGCACGGGGCGTTCTTCTAGTTTAAATACATAGTAAATAATAATGTAATATAATCGTTTGCTCGGTGACGCCTTTCAAAACTAATCTTTAACTCCTCTGAAACGCAAGTCTTAATAATTCGTAAGGATAAAGAATCTTCAACGTTTATCCTACTTCGATAGGCAAAGTTTGCGGTGCCAGGGAAAACCTGAAGAACTTTAAGGCCAAGGGAGTTAAATCCGACCGATGTAAAATGAATGATAATCCCAACGGAACAGAACTTCGCTACGAAGAATTCGTTAAGAAGTAATTATATCGCGAAGAAAGCGTTCTGTAAGCTTCGAGATCGATTTAATATCCCGACATTCTTCGGATAATCCTACCAATACCGGCCAAGGGAATATTTTCCATCGAACCGATTGTTGTTTTTCCACGGGAAAGAGGACGGTATTTTTCAACGAGCGTTATCGAACAGTTCCATATCGGAACGAGCCGAGTGATCGTGCGCTTAATAAAAATTCCAAGGAGGAACGATTCCAAGGATTCTCCATTTGCAGCTTCGTTTCAGAAGGCTGCTCGAGAGCGGAATAATTTTTCCATCGAGACGTCTGTCGCGGAGAAAATTCAACCCTCCCTTATACCTTCTTGATGCTTTCCTCCCTAGCCCCACCCCTTTCCCTCGATTATGAATGACCATTGAACGGAACCGAACGAACAGTATTTGGGGAAGATGTAAAATACGTATTCTTGCTATCCTCCCACAATCGAGACGAACACAATAAGCCATCTTTTTTATCCCAGTTCCCTCTCTGTGTGTGTGTGTGTGTGTGTGTGTGTGTCTTGTTGAAGATAATAATCTCAATAGTCTACGTGAAGTCAATTAAAATTCTCAATACTCGATGGATGAGAAAAGGGGAGCCTCTTTTCTTTTCACAATGGGTATTTACACGTCGATACCAGCTGGAAATTTCGGACTAATTTTTCCTTCTTTTACACGCACATACATCAGGGGATTTTTATTTAAAATCATGAAAATTTTAATTAGGAAAAATATAAAATTGGTATTACTTACAATCTCTCCATCTTCGCCGCCGAAATCGAGCCACAATAGACGCGCCCCATCGTCCGCGGACATTTTCAATTTGTCGAAGGATTTTCTCCACAACGGGGTCGGCGGTGAACCTGGACTCACCCCGTTTCCACCCACGCCCCTTGTCCCGGCCGCGTAAAGCGTGAAACCGTCTTCGTGATTGACAACCAGCTGACACGCCTTTCCTTGCCACGTGCATCCTGTAAACAACCCATAGAAAATCCCTTTAGTTAGGAATTTTCATGAAAAAAAAAAAAAAAGAGCAAACCTAACGTGTACGAAATACAAATTTAACGCCTGGCGATATTTCTTGTCGACTTTCTGCTCGCGTAGATATTCACGGTGTTTCATGATCGATGAGAGTTGAACGAAAAGCGAGAAAAAAGATAGAACGAACCCGGGCAGAGCATTAATCTCAATTTATTATTGCCGTTCGTCCAGGAACGATGAAAAGAAATTAAAATTCATTCGAAGCGAACGGGCATGGGACGCCGTGTAACAACGAGCAGCTCAAAATACCCCTGCCGTTCCGTTTCCTTTTCCTGCAGCAACGCGTATTTCACCCGCTATTATTTATTTCTTATTTTAGCCTCGAAAGCAGCTGAACGAATCCACGAAATCCTTGCAAATTTGGAATATATTTAAAATACAGTAATTGGGGTGTACTTACGAACGGTGTATTCTCGTAACGAATGAGCAGCCGCGTGACAGCCCTGAACGATTGCCCTGGCCCAGGCAGCTAAATCCCTCCGCGTCTCGGCGCGGAGATGATGCGTCACGACGCCGTCAATTGTGCCTACTCGTACCGCAAACGTCGCGGCGTGTTGCGTCGTTCCACTACTGCTGCTGGCTGCCTCGCTCTGTCTTGCCGGGGAGGACACCAATCTGCAATGAAACAATGGTAAAAATGTTAATAATAAACGAAAATAGTCGTCGTAATCGAGTGAAGTGTAAAGAGTCAACTAAACCGTTCAAATTTTTCGCAACAACCCTCCGACGATAAAAGCTCCCCAAAACTCATGTACACACACAAAGGATCAAGTTCATCGCGGTGCACAATCAACCACCGGGAGCGTCACGTACTGTGAATCGAACAATCCTGGAGACAAGCAGCCATCGCAACAACGATCGACCCAACGAAGCCGGGAGAACAAAGAGACGAGCGTCGGTAGGGTGGCTCGAAAAGCCATCGTGTCTGGCAACATCCATCGCTGGCGCAGCGACGCCGAAAGCCGCGGGCAAACCGTCCATAGGAGAGGGTGTACCGCCAGTCACAGGGAGGGTGGTTCGAGGGTGGAAAGCCGCAGCTTTTGCATCGACGCGGTTCAAGTGGCCCCGCTCGACACGTATACCGCGTCAGCGTGTCGAGAATTCTCTCTTCGAAGGTAAATTACCTCGTCATGCGATCCGGCCTCGATCGTAAAAATCGCACGGTTAAAGGGGGCGAAGCAGGGGAAAGTCTGCCCCCCGTTTTTCCTTTTTTTTTTTTTCCCCGAAGCCCGTCCCGCGGCGACGCTGCAATCTGCCCGCTGACGAATGGTCCTGACGTACGCGCGAGATTTATAGATTTTTCCGAGGGACACCGAAAAAATGCCCTGGCCCAACGACCAAAAAGGAAAGGGAGGAAAAAAAACATGAGAACGTAACGGCATAATGGGAAGCCTGGGAAAAATCGGCTATACAGAGGAACAGGAAGTTCAGTTTGACGAGCGACCGGATGATTCAGACGAAGTTGCACGAAATTTTGGACCGGTGTTTGGTTTTATTCGCGATTCGACTGGGTGGAAAATGAGAGACGATGGAAATAACGAGTGTAGAATTCTACCAAAGGGGTGAAAGTTAATGGTGTTTCATAAATTAAATTAATTATCAATAAAATAATTTCTGCTACACCGATTAAGAAGAAAAGAAATAACTAAAATGCTTGAATAACTCTTCGATTTCACCTTTCAACGCGTCGATTCACGCATTCTCGATCCATTATCGCGTCGCTCGTCAAACGATCGATCGAAATTGAAATACGAGATCAGGCGGGGCACAATCGAAGGATCGTTATTATTCCCGGCTCGTTGAATCCATCGTTACGCGATGCACCGGGCCTTAATGCGTTCACCATCTCTCTCTCGGTCTCGCATATCTGGTAATTCTCTCACGAAGCACTCGCGTCTCCCACGTGGTGGAAACTTTCGCGTTTCCAGGCATTGACTATCGAAAGTGGAAAATGTTCGAGGGCCAGGGAAAAGCCGTCGAACGCGATCCGCGGGGAACGCTCGGTGCTGGGATTGCACCCGCTGGAGCTCATACGTTATTCGCCACACGATCCGTTGTTCCATGCAACGGGTGCCCCCGAATAATCCACTCGGCTTACGGCTCGGAATCTCTCACTTTGCTCTGCAGTAAATTTACCGGTACAATGGAAAGGGAATACGTGTACGTTCCTTTGTAAACGACCGAACGCTCGCTCAGCGACGTCTTTATTGTCGTTATCGTCTCCTATGCGAGATCACGCGCGCACGATATTCTTTAACATCAAATATATTTCATATTATTTTAATTAAATTATCAAAGAATAGCATACGTGATGATAAATAAAAAGTTTTCTCTTAAAATGTATCTCTGTACGTTTATCCTTTATCTCTGTTTAACAACGCAGCAACGTTAGCTGACAGAACGAACCGGGTAGTCTGGCTGGAAATAATAAGCTTTCATGAAACTGTACAACATTCCAGCAAGAATAACGCGATGCAACACGAGCACTTCATCGTCAACATCCAGCCGGAATAAAGTCTACTAAGCTGTAAACCATCATCCAAACAATTAAACGAACGGGCAAACAAAGGCAAAGAAGAAGAAGAAGAAGAAGTCTCTTCAACCCCTATAATCGAGCGTCCACTCAAAGACAAAGAAGAATTCGCAGTTCGGAGAGAAGGAAAGGGAAGAATAGCCGGTCGCAGCGAAAAGCCAAGAAGGCGAAAGAGAAATGTACAACTACACCAAAGGAAAAAGGAACGACACGGGGTTGGAGAAGGGTAAAAGGAACAGCAACGGACGGTAAATAAAGGCGTTAAACGAGAATGGATGTTCGTCCAGGGCCCGTAATCCCGGCCAAAAAAAAAAAAAAAAAAAAAAAAATGGGAAAAAAGAATGAGAATAGTAGAAGCGGTGAGAGAGGGAAGAAAGTTTCTTCCTTCTCCGACGGCCGTGGAAGAGATGTTTCGGTCGTGGCCGAATCACTTCCGGTTTGTCTCGCACTAAAACTTCCTTAAGTCGGTCATTTCGTAGCTCTCCGGGCCCGATACGGACCTCTTCGACCGGAAATAGCTTCTCGATCCCTCCGTCTTTCCTCCCGACCCCTATATGTTTTATTCCTTTTTACTTCTTTTCCTTCGATTCTTCCTTTCTTCCACGATCCTACAGATACGGGGCTGATATCAGACTTATACGTCTTCCCTCCCGGTTCGAACAAACTTTTCGAAAAGTACTCTCCACGGTGTTGTTTGGCTCGATGGATGAATAATAGGTCGCTGTAAGCGGTTTAAAGACCACTCGATCCTTCGGTAGAAATATTTTTATCTTATTATATCGGCGAACAATTTATGAATTACAAAGCGTGGCGTCGTATAATGAAATCGAAAGCTTTGATGAAGATTATATTAATTCTATTCAATTGTTCCTTTTTTCATTTAGTAGGTTCCAAGAAACTTTGAATTAAAGGTACATCGAACATCTGGATTGTAAGAGTGTTTGGTACAAAATTAAAATCGGATTTAAATTTGACGCAACAGTGGGCCGAGTGTCTTTATTAAAAATGAAAAACGTTCGAATAGGTACGCGCGCATTTTGATGAAAATGGACAATATTTCCTCTTAGTTCCTTTATACGCGGAAAAAAATCGTGAAAAATTCATAAACCTGTCCGTGCTGCATTGATTTTTCCTTGGTAGAAATCCTCTCAATAATCACCTCCGTTCGGGCTATACGTTCAATCAATAATAACATCGCGATGTAAAAGCATAAACTTTAAGGAAATTCATCTTCGATATTCTATAGGAATAATAGCTGAATGGCATCAGTGAATGATGGATTATTGCAAAATAAATATTTAAAAATAGATAAAAGACTACTCAGGTGGGAGGCTAGGGTTCAAATCCCAAGGGTGTTTTTTTTTAGAAGTTTTTCCTTGAGACGAGTTTTTCTGTTGATTTTCCACCAGTTCGAAGATCCTGGAAAACAGGTTGTTTTGGAAAAATTGCATTTTGATGCAAACATCAGGAGAGCAACATTAAGAACGTTAAAACAATAATCAACGAGGGAAAATTACAAGGCAAACCATGAAGCGAAAAGGACGGTCCCTTTTTCCGGAGTAATTCAATTTTCCAAGGGGACTATCTATATGCAATCTTCTATGAGGCAAATTCAGTGTTAAAAACGTAGCATGGGTAAATTCTGTCATTAAAAACACGGTGTAACTTTGTTAAACGTTCTAATTGGGTGCACAGCGCACACATCGTTGAATCTCGCGCGTAACAACTTGTTCGACTGTGATAACCGTGGAATAAAATTGCGGGGGCGCTGTGTTGTAGAAAACGTGGATAACAAGGCTCTTGAAATAAACCGGAAACACGTGGTTGCTGATAGACCAACGATTTCGCGATACACTGATCAAAAATAGTAAAATACATTTTCCATTTCAACAATTTAACGAGACATTTTTAATATGTACCTTAGAATAAACCTCCAAGATGTCAATTAAACGCAAAGGTGAAACTAATAAATGTCCCACGAACTTATGAACCGGATTGTACGTGCGTGTTATGGCTCGGTTCAATAATTCCCTTCGGTCCATATGTTGTAACCGCAACAACCACGCGCGTGCTTTGCAATAACAGAAAGTTAATCAGGGTTCAGTTATTAGCGATAAAATTCCGGGCTTGATCGTATACGGCGCACGATTTGTGTTGCCCTTACCTCTTAATAAATGTTATTAAAACATTCGCCGCACGGAGCTCTCGGGTGAATTCTCCTGGCTGGAAGTGCAGTTTCGAACCGTCGCAACTTCCTTGTTTAATTTCATCAGCCAAGTGCAGGCGAATAAAAGCGTGTACGAGCTACGTTCGAAGCTTGCGAAAGTCATGAAACCGCGCCAGACCGGGTCGGAAAGAAGAAGAAGAAGAAGAAGAAGAAAAAAGAAAGAAATACATTATCCGTGTTCGTTTAAATCGGTGCCGTTGTGTCGGTCGGGCACAGACGCGGGGAAACAACGGAAGAGGTAGGAAAAATAAAAGTGGACGTTGACGCGGTGCTCGTACAATTTCGTTATAATTAATCCAATATCTTCCGGCGTTTGCAGCCCGGGCGAATGTTGTCGGGGCGCAACGGTATCGTTAATATTTCCACGATCTTCCTGTCCTTCTCTATTTTCTCGGCAAATTAAACTATAGTGTTTAACACCGCGCGGCTGCAATCGTACGTTCCGGTAAGGATGGAAGGAAAATTATAGCAAACGATCGTATAAAAGACGAGGTAACGGGGGGGGGGGGGGGGGGGGGGGGGGTACGCGTGGAAATAAAGGAAGTAGAGGAGAGGAAAATCCTGAACTCGTGGCGCGAATATTACGGTTGGATCGCACGTGCGATAGGAAACTGTCGACGACACCTTCGATAATTAATGCTCACCCCTCGCGCAGTTTAATTGATCCGGTTCACCGTTCGATTATCGAAACCCCATCTTTCACACCCCCGTACTCGCGTCTGACCTATAGTAACTCGCTGGCTCGCATTCTGTTCCCTTCATTCGTTTCTCTTTCCTTTCCTTCTTTTTCATTTCACCTCCCTTTCAATTTCTCCCCTCATTGTTCTCTTATTTACCGGCCCCCTTCTTTCTCTC